TCGCGAGCGGAAGTAACCGCTTTTACTACCGTAACGTCGCCGCTGTTGACTCGCGTTGCCTAGCGACCGCGATATCCCTCGGTGACGTCACCGTGGAGGGGAGTGGCGGGGCGGGAACTCGCCTATTACCGTAGTAACGCGAGCATTACATTACCGCCACGTACCGCTGGGGAGGTAGGGGTGATCCATAGCTCAACATGTCACAATATATCCAAGTATACACCTATATCATTGTTGACTTCTTTTTCTAAGATCATTGAAAAATTCAAATATGCGAGACATATTACTCATATTGAAGCAAATTATCTGTTGGTACATGAACAATATGGTTTTAGGACACACTCAACTGAGAAGGCAGCTTTTACATTGATAAATAATATTTTAACTGCAATAAATAATAAGTTAATGGTGGGAGGCATTTTTTGTGATTTACAAAAAGCGTTTGATTGTGTTAACCATAAAATATTGGATAAATTGGAATTATATGGAATTGAAAGAAAATTCCTTGAATTTTAATAAGACTCAATATGTCCAGTTTCGACCTATCACTACTCAAATTAACTATGATCAGATAAATTTTACAAATGTGACTGAGACAAAATTTCTGGGATTAATTATTGATGATACTCTTTCATGGAAACAGCATATTGATTATGTTATTAATAAAATTTCCATTGCATGTTATGCATTGAAAAATATAAAATATATTGTCCCTTTAGATACATTAAAGCTAATTTATTTTGCTCTATACATTCTCATAAGCTATGGTATAAATTTTTGGGGTGGCTCCTCTTGAGTTAACAAAGTTTTTATATATTGCAAAACAAAGTTATTAGAATTATAATGAATTCTAGACCAAAAGAGTCTTGTAGGAACATTTTTAGAATTTGGAAATAAAGATGTTCTACTCTCAGTACATATTGTAACGTGTTTGGCTACAACCTACAAGTCACAACTACAATTGATTATAACACTGTTGCGGGTTTATACAATTTACAAACCCACTATCTTCAGAAGTCTTCGCGTATTTACAGTATAACATGGGAGCTATACAAGTGTCACTGAATTACACACACCTTCTCAGCTATCACAAACTATCACTGATTATCACACATAAAATCTTCTAACCACGCGTTCGGTTCTTCTTCTTCCCGCAACTGACTGACTTCTGCTCTGCCGAAAACTCCGAATACTAACCGGCTCCTTAGTTATTCCAGTTTCTCTTATAAACCCTCAGTTGGACAGCGAAAAACACGCCTCGCTTCATTGTTGCGTAATCGATGTGTTTACAGAGGTGTTACTGGGCAATGCTGCTGAGAGATGTTTACTGCAATGCTGCGCACCAACCGGCACACACAGAGAAACACCGCTTTCCTTACTGTTGCGCAACTTGGCAACCAACCGTTTATCAAGAGTCTGTCTTCGTGGTAACTTGTTCCACATCCCGTTGCCCAACAAAGGTTTGACAAGTCACAATATATTCGTTACTTTTATACACAATTAATAATAAACATTTATTTAATTTTAATAATGAGATTCACAAATACAAAACTAGAGCCCCCAATAATTTATATTTACCTGCAGTTAACGTAACAAAATACAATAAAGGTGCATACATATCAGGTACTAAAGTTTTTAATCATCTTCCTCAAACAATAAAAATGTTGGCTACTGATGTGAGAAGTTTTAAATCTGCATTGAAGAGATTTTTATATCATTCTTTTTATTCTATGAATGAATATTATCAATGTAATTGGACATAAGTGTGTAAATTTGTAATGTATTTAATTCAGTTAATATAGGTAATTTAAATAAAATTGTATTAATTCAAGTTATATAGTAAGTTACTTTTAAATTATCTTATTAAAATTTTTACTTTATATTATTATTTATGTTAATCGATTAATATAAGTGATTTTGATTATGTGACTCGTGTAATTTTGTCTATGTATCTTGATATATCCATTTTCAAAGGGACCATTTCCTCATCGTAGGTTTCTTACCTGTATGGATATATGGAAAATAAAAGAAAGGAATGAATGAATGAATGGAGTATACAAGAGAACAGCATTTTATGAATAAAACTACACAGATGTTTCATGAAGCTACATACTATAAATATTGACCATCACAAATAATCCACAAAAGAATCCAACTGCTACACGTTCTATGCATTTGTAAGAAACTATTATAGTAAAAATTATAAGTTAATACAATTATTAATGGAGCAGAATTCCTCTCCATTTAAAGTACATAACCCTCACTGCTGCACAAAACTCTCAATCAGTGCTTATAATAATGAGACCAGGCTGGCAATGAAGTATAATTTGTATCTGGGAGGTTTCGGGTTTGAACATCATCTGGACGACCAGCTACCCAATTAAGGTTGTTACTAATTTTCCAAGTAAATGCTGGGGGGGGGGATTAGACACTGGAACCTCAACACAAAGACCCAGGTTTAATCATGGATGGCATCATGGTGGATGAAATAGCACTGGAGCAGGGTTTCATTGAAGTTTCTTCAGGATTCTCCTGCTAACATCATTCCCCCATTGTCCCATATTCATCTACCACAGCCCCTTGAAGAATCCAACAGCACTGCTGAGGCAGTAAATCACTGCATCCTCAGTCTTTAAGTCAAGGGCTTTATTTCTCTCACCCAGCACTTAACTTTTTACACAGTATAGAAAGTACATTTTAGGGTAGCTTCAAGTATACTAGTGCCATTTCTTTCTCCACTGTTCTCTAGTCATATATAATCATCTTATCTCATTTACATACTATATTAACTCTGCAACTGTTACAGCACTGGTCTTTAACTGTATTCACACAGATTTTGCAGCTGTTCATGAACTGGCCACTTTCACTGCTGGCTTACAAGAGCTATGCTGTACATCACCTATCCCACAAATGTCAAAGCCATCCTATTTATGTACTCAATCACACATTTTGTTAGTGACCTTGACTGAATCAAAATGGATCATCAAACAAATCACATAAATCAGCTTTGTATATTGTAGGTAATAACTTACATTTCACAATCCTAAAAGCTGTGTATAATTATCTAGCAGCAAGAATAAATGTTGTAACTAAATACAACCCATGCTCACCTTGGGCATTAAGGGATCTCTAGCTGTCCTCATAAGTGAAGTTTCTCCAACATACAATTTGAGGAGCTGTTCCCACATCTCCGTGTCATAGTATGAGTGACTCCATACCAAGTTACTTGTTCCCCAAAATGCACTCTGCGTGAATATTTTGGTACTCAATTCTTTATACATTTCTGACAGTTCTGTCAATGTTTTCTTCTGTGGTACTGTAAATGGACGTGAAAATTAGTTACAGAACTATATAAACTTGCTACACTGATAAGGAAAGATTAAACACTTTGGGCATACATGTATATATTAAGCATACATACCAAGAACGCACAAAAGTATGGCTCCTGTACTAACACCACAGACATAATCAAACATTTCATATACCCTTTTTCCAGTGAGCTCTTCCAACTTCTTTAACAGTTCTATGACAAGTACACCTCTGCAAAATAAAGAGAAAATAATTATTTACAATATGCTGCTCAACACTGTATCTGTAATTTTAACATAACTAGTAAGAAACAGGGGCCAGAGGGTGCTGATTGGATTCATCTGGCTGAAGAGAGGAACCACTGAAAGGTTCTTGTGAACACAATAATGAACCTTTGTGTACTACAAAGGTTAGCAATTTCTTGACTAGTTGAGCAACTCTCTCAGGGACTCAGCACCATTAAGTTAGTGGAAGTGGGTAATAATACCATGATTTCAGGTAATTTCATCGTTTCACTGAAAACTTCTTTTATAATATCTTAAGGAATGCAACTGTGATTTTACCTCACTTAAAGATCTGTGTCTGAACAAATTACTCAGCTCATTCTATTTGCTGCTAAAACTATGTCTGACATATTCTAGTGATATTTATTACGTTTTGGTGGGAATGGACCTCACTATTCCCAATATAAGAGTCACACCCTTTCAAATGATATAATGTACATATCATATTTTTATCCAAGCATGCATCCATTCATACACAAATATCTAGCACTATCTAATAAAGCAATTGTAGTTACAGACTCTTAGAATTAATATCACACAATAAGGTTTAAATATATAAAATTTTAACAGACAGTGTTTTCTGCATTTTGAGAGTTACAATTTACAGCAATTTTTGAGATAGTATACTTCACTAAAATGAATATACATAGAATCCACCTGATTTTTAACATTGCTGTAATGACATTTCATTGTATTGTGACATGTTGTGCAGTGGGGGACAGCCCCTCCTTCGCACGGCAGTGGCGTGGCGGCTCTGGCCACGGTGACGTGCCCCCCCGGGCTGCGTGGCACCACTTCCTGCTGTGACAAGGCGCGTGGCGCAGCTGTGGCATGGCGTCAGGCAGCAGCGGTGCCCATTGTGTGGCGGGCGGACGCCGTGACTGTATGGGGGAGCTGCACAGCCGCCAAGGTCAGTTGGGGGTGTATCGGTCGCCGAAGTGGGTTCTCAGGGTGGTGGCCACAGAGTGTGTGTGTGTTGAGGAAGTGGCGCCGTGAAGTGTGGCAGCTGCCGAGGACGGTCAGCCCTGGGCGGGTTGGTGTGCGATCAGGAGTGACACAGTTGGAGTATAGCAGCCATCACAGAAAGAGGAACCGGACGTATGTGTAATTGTGTAATTGGGAGTGTGTAATACAGTGACACTTATATAGCTCCCGTACTGTGAATATGTATAGACTACTGAAGATAGAGTGAACAGATTATTACGAATAGGGTTATAAAGTGTGAAACCCCGCAGAGTGAAGAGATTATTGCAAATAGGGTTATAAAGTGTGAAACCGCACAGAGTGAAGAGATTACTGTGAATAGGGTTATAAAGTGTGAAACCCTGCAACAGTGTTGTAATTAATTGTAGCAGAGACTGGTAGGTTGTTAAATAAACCAATTAACAATCCGAACAGCTTCTTCAGTAACAAAACACGTTACAGTATTGTTATCCGAATGAAAAGAAATTAAGTATCTATATATTGTTCTTTTCATTAATAACCAGCAGTACATGAAGATCACACTATCATATATCACTTAAATATCATATTTTCAAATCCTTCTCATCACAAAAAAATCCAATGAGAAAATACAGCACCATTTAACACAGTCTTCAGCATTTCATACAGTAGTATATATCTTGTCTGGGTAATCATCTTCATAAGTGAAAAAGATGACAACATGGTCACAATTTGGAAATCTGAATTAGAATGTCAGTCATATACTATGAATGTCTACTGATTTTGTGCAGTAAAAGACATTACTGGTGATCATGTAGACGCACCACGTTTGAAACAATTTTTCCTTCTGAACAATAAAAACTGATAAACAAGTTAAGTCAAATCTTTCCCATATACAATTTAGTAAATAACCGTTCCCTCTCCTTCTTAGTTCACAAAATTATGTTATAAACCAGTCTGTTTTCTCTCTGTTCATTTTATATTATTATTTTATTAAAACCTATGATATATGATTTAGAAAAACTAAATCTATGCACCAACGTATCCATTTCTCAGTCAATTTGAAGACCCACAATATCTTCAGCTTCAATATAATTACAGAAATAATTATTATTACTGATATGCATTCCTGCCATCCACTTACTGTTCTACTTCTCATATTCCAATCAAATTAGTATACTGCATTTAGAATACAACAGTTTTTGTTCTGTTTTACAATGAGGATACATGGTAGAGAATTCCACGCTACTGTAACACATTTCTGTGGCACACTTACTGCATTTATAAACCACTATTAAGAGTACAGAATGGGGGAAAAAATATTTTTACCTTATTCCGCCACCATCAATTGAAAGAATCCTAATACCTCTACCAGGCAAAGGATCAACATGGCCAAGTACAGCCAATATTTCCCTCAAAACAGCTAGTGTAGGTTCATCATCTGCTGTTTTGCGCATCTGAAGCAACACGCGAATTATTCCTTCCTAAGATAAAATTTAAGATTATTATTATTATTACTAAAATTATTAACAACTTCCTTATGACTACTTTCAGAATGACACTGTGGCCAGAATTCTTATAAAAATCCATATACCTAGTAAGGATAGAAAAGCAGACACTAAAACCAAGCAGGTTACCACCTCAGTGTATTCTGATCAGTTTGAACAAAACATCTACAATACAACTTGCTTCCCTCTACAACATAAGCTCAAAGTCAGAAGTCATAAAGGTAAATGTAAAGGTGAAGCTGACCCTAACACCACACCAAGAACATATATGGAAGAGTGGAAGTACAGCTTCTGGGGGGGGGGCGACAGAGGGAGATGGTGAGGGTGTGTGTGTGTGTGTGTCCATATATATATATTAAAGGAGTGTGTTACCTTAGTAGCATAGTGCCTGGCCTCAGGATACTGATTCAGATGACTAGCTAAATCCTCAAGACGTTTCAGTCTGGACTGAACAGTTTCAGCACTTGCAGCTGACACTATTACATGTCTTGTTCTGGAATTGTTGTGGATCTGGAATTTACAAATTCCATACATTAAATAAAAGGTATAAATGACACACTGCAGATCACCACAGTGACTGCAGATAGTGGTCATAGGAAGGACTGGATAGGTCCCTTTACAGCTATCACTCAGCTTGGTCAACTGCAAGATCTCCGTGTGCTTTTAGACTGTGAGACAACAGGCCAATGACATAATTGATGGAAAGTGATCAGGTAGGGTGGTGATGACAGTTGAGTTGGGAGGCAAGGTAATTCAGAACCACATGGGGTTAGACACTGAAATTATTTTCCTTGTCTCTGGTAAGAACACAGGTCTTTCAATGCACTGTAGTAGTGCACACACTCTTATTACAACACGTAATAAACCTCTGGAACTTTATACATAATTTACAGTAAGACCTCACTAATTTGGACTGCTTGGGTGTGAACCCTCGTCAAAATTAGTGAAAGCCCGAATTATAGAAGTGCTACTGAAAATATTTTCAGGGAAGTTATAAAACGGACTTGCAAGTGCCTTTTTAGGCAATACAAATTTATTTTGAGACTTAGATTTGATATTGTAAAATAGACATGCTTCTCATAAAATGTAAATTTTGACATCAGTCTTAAAACTTTTTGTAGCCACAATGTGATTAAGGTTGAATTGAGGCAAAAAAAAAAAATTGTCTGGATTATAGTGAATTCCAAATTAGTGAGGCTTCACTGTAGTGACTTATATTCTCACTTAGAAGCCTGTAAACTGGTAGTTTATTCCGAATTTAGTTGTTTTAGTATTTCTACCTTATATGTCTGACTTTGTAAATTTCAGAGGTTAAAATCTAACCAAAAAGTGCCACATTCACAGCACAGAATCCTCTTGATTCAGAACTTTTCTACCTCTCTTTCCCAAATCCCTGCATTCTGTATTATCACCGGTCCATGAGATGTACCGAGCAGGCAGAACGCATGTAAACCAAAGAATCCTACTGATTCTCACTGAGTAATATTATCTTCGTTCTAAAGCACCTCAAGGCTTAATTGGCATAAATAAGCATTTTGCACCTACCTCCTATGGACTCCCAGTTTTGTGACCTGTCTCACACACTGCACTGTCACCTTCTGGAGGATGAACTATTCATAATATGAAAACATAGACATCACAAACAGAATGCAAAAAGTGGACCACATGGACTCTTTCCAAACAACAAACCTATGACTTCAGAGTAAACAACTGTGACTTACTGGTGACAATGGCTGCATAAATTCATTAGCTATGACAGAAGATATTGGGATTTGAACTTTGTATACAGTATGAAATTGGCATAGGAACCTGGCTAGTTACAAGGGTAACTTGATACAAAATACTATACTTAAATAAGGATCGACCATCTTATTTACCTTTGACACGGCTTCTTTTGACAATTTCCATGTTGGCATTAGTTCTTTACACACTTCAACATTTTGAACCGAATTCTTTACTATACTTAAATAATGGTAGACCATCTTCTTTACCTTTGACATGGCTTCTTTTGACAATTTCCATTTTGGCATTAGTTCTTTACACACTTCAACATTTTGAACCGAATTCTTTTTCGGCTTAAAACCAGTCTGTACTTGTGGCAAACTGTAACCATTGTCTTCCTTTGGTACAGCTTCTTTGGAATCTGTCTGAGAACAACCCTTCTCAGCTTTAATTTGCTCGTTAACTATAGCACTTTTTGAATCACAGTTCTTTCTTATTTGTGAGTCTACTGAACCATAAATCATACGCAATTTCTGCAGCACAGAAACCCATTCTTTACTGAGAACAAAAAGAATTCCTTTTTCATTTGAACAGGATTTTGACACACATTCTTTCAGATGAGTTAGAAGTTTCCAGTGACTGACAGACATACTCCTGAGTGAAGAGACACCAAGTGACATTTCTGTAGCCTCCTCTGATGCTTTACTGGGCTGTGCACTCTATGCACAGCTTTGTCTGGAAGGAATGATGATGGAAATTAAAACTTGTCTCTTCACATAATATTATATTTCAGCAACCTGNGGCCATTATCTCCGTAACCGTTCAACTTTGGACATAGGTGTTTTGGGTTATATCGGCATACTTTAACATAAGGAACACCCTCCCGAAGTTTGGCACATTCCTCCTGGGACACCCTGTATATATATATATACATACATTATACCCTACAGTGAAACAGCTGCTAAAAGATAAAAAAAAAACATTATCTGAAGCAAATTAACAACAATGTGCCTAAGGGTGCAAAGGACAAAGCGTACAGTGCAGTGGTCTTCCCAGATAATAAGTGCTGCCTGATGATGGCCCATGTGTGGTCGAAACATGTAGCAATGACATCAAATGTACATAGTTAATGACATTTTAAAATATTTAACAAACTTTTTCGTGAATTAAATATAATTTAGTGTCTTTTAAGAAATGATTGACTCTGTTGCATTATAGGCTGAATACTTTGTAAAATGTTCATTCATTCATTTCTTCATTTTCCATATATCCATACAGGTAACAAACCTAGGATGTTGACATTGTCCTTTTGAAAATAGATATATCAAGATACATATACAAAATTACAGGAGTCACATAATCAAAATCACTTTTACTATAAAACTTGAATTAATACAATTTTATTTAAATTACCTATATTAACTGAATTAAATACATTACAAATTTACACACTTGTAACCAGTTATGTTGATAATATTCATTCATGGAATAAAAAGAATGATGATATAAAAACCTCTTCAATGCAGATTTAAAACTTCTCACATCAGTAGCCAACATTTTTATGGTTTGACTGTATACAATTAAGATGGTCATGAATGGTTTACTCACAGCTCATTTCCTTTTATCCTGTAGAGAAATATGTTAATAAATAGTTTTCAAATTTTAAGGTTCTTGCTATGAAATGACTGATTGTATATACTGAATTTTTATTGTATATTCTAATTTTTAAATCCTGATCAAATGTACTAATTTGGACTGTTAAATTAAGTATTTGTAGTTATGTGATCAAAATAGTGGCATCAAACTTCTATATTATGAATAGGTCTTTTGTACTGATTTATAATGGTGACAGCGATAATCATATATCTGCATAAATTTGATCATATTTGAATATTTTATGTGCACATTTTGTATTGTGATTGCACTGCATGTTGATGGATTCATTGTTTTTATGAATGTGTTTATGTATTTTGACATGTTCTATATCCTATGGCATGCGTGACTTGAAAAGGATTATGGAATTTAAAATAAAGTGAAAGTGAAATGATTAAAAACTTGATACCTGATATGTACACACCTTTGTTAGGTTAACTGCAGGTAAATGTAAATTATTGGGGGCTCGAGTTTTGTATTTGTGAATTTCATTGTTAAAATTAAGTAAATGTTTATTATTAATTGTGTATAAAAGTAATGAATATATGTACTGAAAGTAGAAAGTCATTGTTTCTATATTTGTCACTGCAGCCTTCTAGCTTATAATCCCTTTAATATCACTGTAGCCACTGGGTAGTAGGAAGATGACTATGAAGAACATTGTTCATTGCATGCATAACATGAGCCAACTGCTGCTGGCAATAAGTTATTAGACTCGTAACATCAACAATTGCTACAACTGCTATTCTTATACCAAATCAATAAATTCTCACTTAATACTATCGTATTATTAAAATGATGGAAAATTTTAATAATTTTTAAATAAAATTCCTTCTCGAAAACTAATGAAACCTTTTATTTTTAATGAACATAAGTTTCGATCATAAAAACTAGCAATAGTGCACACATATATATTTGTTTGTTAGAGCTAGAATTTAATCAAAAAATTCAATTCACATATTAAAAAAAATCGATTGTAATTACAGTTCCTATGGCTGACTAGCACATACAAAACAACCATCAGCTCCAACGCAAATAGTCATAATCTAGTAAGCCCAGGTCCAACATACAAAACAAGGACCAGAAAGACGTCGTAACCGTCTACATATGTTACTAAAAATATAACGAACGGTGCTAACAGTTATTCATCTCTGGTATTCTTCGCTCAGAACAGCGCACCTTCTTTGACGGGAAAATAACTTCATCATCTGACAATCTACCGATGACACTGCGTCGTAAAATTGCAGAGTACCATCACTAAAACAAGAAAATTAGGCAATTTGGTCTCTGACATTAACCATTTCTTCATACATCACCACAATTCTCTCCTAAGGCATCAAGCATAGCCCATTCCTTCACGACCACTTCTGGCGTTTTGTCAACTGTACTATCAAAATACAGATATGCCAGAACACCCAGACCAGACCCGAGAAACTCCCATGTTATTGGTTGGCAACATGGCGGCGATTACAGACTTATGTTACCTACCATGCCCACCACGAATCCGGGAATATACGAGTAGTTATCGAAATCACACAACCCAAGATCGATAGACTCGAAAAGGAATGAAATTGTGTAGAACGGTGTAGAAGGCAGTGGAAGAGCTGGTTAAAATAGTTGTGATGAAGAGAAGAATTGTGTGATTTATTGTAAGGTGTAATAACCGTAGTTAATAATAACTATAATGGACGTTGGAATGATGCAGTATCCACCAGGCGACTCCCGAATGATTGATAAAATTGTACATCAACTTAAATCCCAAGGAATTTTTGATCAGTTTCGAAAGGAGTGTATATCGGATGTAGATACAAAGGTATGTTAATGATGTTTGGTAACAGTTGTAATTGATTACCGATTAATTTTGGGAGGTATATATTTTGCACCTTGTGTCTTGCATGACGAATATTTTTTAAGTGTGTGTGCATTATAACACCACGACGGAAAATGTAAAATTGGTTCTTTGTTATCAGAATAATTTTCAGGTGTGAATAATTGTAGAATTTTGTAAAGAAATTGTGATCAAGAACATTTAATCACTGTCTGGTATGGTTTAATTACAGTAGCTATGTAATGCTCAGTAATTTAAAGGACGTTGTAATTATTCATTCACATCGTTTCTATCATAGATTTTAATTTTTGTACTGTTATTATGTGTAGCATTCTCCAGAATGTGAAATGTTTTAAATATTTGGGTAGCTTGTTAACAGATGATGGAAGGTGTATGTGTGAAATTAAATCTAGGATTGCCATGGCAAAAGCTGCATTTAGCAAGAAGAAGAATCTTTTTACCAGCAAATTGGACTTAAATTTGAGAAAGAAACTAGTGAAATGCTACATTTGGAGCATTGCTTTGTAAGGGGCTGAAACTTGGACACTTAGGGCAGTAGAGCAGAAAACCCTGGAAAGCTTTGAAATGTGGGGTTCGAGAAGGATGGAGAAGATCAGTTGGACCGATTATGTGAGAAATGAAGAAGTGTTATTTAGAGTCAGTGAGCAGAGGAATATCCTACACGAAATAAGAAAACGGAAGGCTAATTGGATTGGTCATATCTTACGCAGTAACTGCCTTCTAAAAGAAGTTATTGAATGAAAGATAGAGGGGTGGATAGAAGTGACCAGAAGACGAGAAAGAAGACGTAAGAAGATGCTGGATGACCTTGAGGACAGAAGAGGATATTCTCATTTGAAGGAGAAAGCTCTAGATCGCATCAAGTGGAGGAACTGTTTTGGAAGAGACTGTGGACCTGTCGTCTGACAGATTACTCATGAATGAATGAATTATGTGTAGCATTTAGGAGAGCAAGGCAAGCTGTCATGTGGCTGACAAACGTTGAACTAGAGAACTTGTAACTCATGGCAGGTCTTTTGCTTCAGAATTAGTCAGGCACAGGCCATCCTGCTTTACTTTTGGAGGAATGTTCTACCTTCATCTTCAGGGTAAAATAATAAACTACAGGAATGTTAGTAAACTTTTGCTAAATTACATGGCATCACATCCTAGAAGACAGCATTTTCCTGATTATGAGTATTTTTTCATTTCGTGTGTCCTGTTGTGTTAGGACAGAGTTCAATAAAGAATTGTATATGAGTATTTTTATTTTCATTACTTTCTCACTTCGATTTTTGTCAAATAAGCTGCAAAAGAAAAGGAAAGAATGACACAAATTGGTAGTGCAGCCAAGTTCTGGAGCATTGTCTTTCAGCTGTCAGCATATTTAACCTTTTGACGTGGTCATTTAAATTCCGCGGCCACGGCTCCTGCGGTAATATATTCAGCCGGCCATTTAAATTTTGCTCGAAAATTATTTATTCATCATTGTTCTTAAATTCTATGAGATAGGAACATGAAACTTTCACTAAAATGATCTTAAAAGGTGGTTTTATAACCTTACCTTATAATATG